TTTGTTAAGTTGGTGGCAAAACCAGCAAAAAATTATTTTTTCAGCTTAATGCGTAATCAACACATGTCTGGACGGGGTAAGAGGGGGGGGGGGGGGGGGGGACAGGGTGGCAAAGACATAGTTTGCTCGCATCATTTTCCGTGGGTAAGTCATTGCCCATTTTGCCGTCTCCCCTCCCCCCCCCCCCCCTCCCCTCCACCTGCCTTGGATCCGACTGTGTTGCCCTCACTTTATGACGGTTTCTACAGCAGGCAAAGCCGCGACGTGTCCCAAGTGCATCTCGACGCCATGCACTTTTGCAAAGCATAAGCATTATTGTTTTGCATACGCGACGTGTAAAACACATTTGGTCATGGTTTAAATGGACTGACGAGCCGTACCGTGCGCTTACATTTTGAAACCGTGACGTGTCCCAAGTGCATCTCGACGCCATGCACTTTTACGAAGCATAACCATTGTTTAAATGGACTGACGAGCCGTAGCGTGTAATTACATTTCCCCCTATCTAAGCAACAATGTCATTATCAGCAAATGAAGGTCACCGTGTTGCCTGCGTCTCAACTGCGTATCACTTTTTTAGTATCACGGTATGCCGCATCGGGGTGTTTGAACTCAGCCGGGGCAAGTGCGGGGCTATGTCGACGCTACTGGCACATAACTGATGACTGTACACGCTGCATTATCAACACCAACGACATCGGCCTTTGCCCAATCGATAGCCGTCTCCCGACAATGACGCCGTGGGCATTATCAAGACCAACGACATCGGCCACTGCCCGATCCATGGTCATCTCCTGACAATGACGCCGTGGGCATTGGCAGACAGCATCGCCAGCGAGTACGCGGCCGCTGCGCGACGCATGGGGTCTGAGGCCGGCAGCGCAGCCCCTGCCGCCCGCTGTGTTCGGACGTCTGGTGACCTGCCCTTGGCAAACATGCCGCTCCATCGGTCAGCGAGATAGAGCAAGAACGCAGCGCTGTAGTCCCGCACTCGTCTGATCCGGTCCGAGCAAAGCGATGACAGATGTGAGCGTTCTTTTTAATGGAGATGATGCGAAAAACTAAGCTGGTGGGGCCGGCCACTTGTCACCTGAGGCCATTGCGTCTGGTCGTCGCTTTGGAAAGTACCTTTCATGGAAATGTAGCAGGCGGAGGTCCACTGGTGGTCGCAGGACCACGGGTTCCACATTCGGTCGCACCAAGTCGCAAATAGCACGCTTGAAAATTGGCTGGCACTGGAGTCCTACGGCCGCTAACAACACCTAGTTCTTTTTCTGTTTCGATCACAGTCTCTTCTTGACCACCCATAGCAGATGACTCTTTCACATGCTCTACATAAATGCACGGTCTTATTCTTGCATGATCGCACAGGCGTGATCTTTACGGACTATTTTCATTCGTCATGTTTCATGCTACTCAACAAGGTTGTCTACATCAGTCCGTGGTGGGGCTTAGGCGGTTTTGCTTTTGGTTGCCCGAACGCTTTTAAAATTATCTGCTAACTTAAAAATGATGTCTTGCTCATGGTCGATGTTGCTTACAAATTTATTAAACTTCAAACGTCTGAGAACCAAATCCTGTGGAACCGTACTAAGGGCAACTTACCTTCAGCAGCGAGTGTTGGGGAAGGATGCCGCACGCATGGTCCAACATTAGCGAGTCAATACTCCAGCCACTGTCGGCAAGTAAGGAAGCTAGGTACTTTAGGTAAGTGGTTCAGTGCATTTGTGAGGAACATTATTCGAATAGATAGATAGAAGACAGACAGATAAATATTAGACAGAGTTATAGCCTTATTCCTCGGAGACAAATCATGAAGATTGAGATAAGGATGGGTTGATATTTCGGCAACATGCCTTTATCGAAATACAAAATGACGCTAATGCAAGGAACCTTACGGGTATTGGTAGTTTTTTAACATTAAGCGCAAGGTGCTTATTATAGCGAATTAAGTTTTCAAGAAGTACTGTTCGCATCGGTTAAGAGTATTCACCTTATTAGATTTGATCCAAGATACAGGAAACCAGCAATAATGAAGCAGAGGCCAACGCAGTTCAGTGAGGTGTCTCGTGAGCTGCCGGGATTACATTCAACTCAAGACATCTAGATGCTCATGTTGTAAATTTCTCACAACATTCAGTCCACCAGAGAAAAGGCGAAACATTGTAGAGACCTCACCTTGCCGACCAATGATGTTCGGTGTATCATAATTTGCACGGGACAGCTGATAACATTTCTACGTCGGCTACAAGTTAAAATGTTACGCCGGATTGCTTCCTGCAATTTGCGTCCACAGTTTTTCGAAGTATCGCAGTCAGACAAGTGCCTGTATTGTTCCTTAAAATCAGGGGCATATCTCACCTATTTAGGTCATGTCGTGTAACCTAGTGATGCCGAAGCGACCTGAGCCATGTTTTCCACACACTTGCGGCGGTAGAGAACCCGTAACCACACCACCACCACCAGGGCGGTGGCGGTGCAGCCGTTACGGCGCTCGGCCCCGAACATGTCGGTTCTGGGTTGGAGTCCCTGCACGCTGTTTCCGCCTCCCACACGATAGCTAATCAACATTCCCGCTTCGAAGTGCCTCTGGCAGTCGGTGAAACGTAAAGCCCCATTTACAACATGGGAATTAAAGTCAGCGTCATCTCAAATGCGTGCGAAAGAACAGAAGGCATGGTGAAGCAGCGGATAAAACTATTGAAAATGCCAGCAAAGCCCACATTTGGCTGTGCAAAAAATGCTCAATGCACCCAGATACCCAGAGTATCGTTGATATATTAGTAGCCGCACACAAAGTAGATCGGTACATCAGTGGGATTAGGGAGAGCACGGCTAAATGGGACGCCTTACGGACACCAATAGTTAATCCACCGAGAGTCTTATAGAAAGGCAAGGTGACGCGTCTGCCGGCGCCGACTGAACGGGGAGGTGCTGCATTCATATACTAACTTGGGAACTACGTCTCTAGGGTCGTGCCTGTCACAATATGTAATTGATTGTCAGAATGCTGTACCGGAAACGTGATGGTGCGCAAGCTTTGACGGAACGATGTCACAACGTGGGCGAAATGTTAAAAACGAGAAATGAAAAAAGACGCATTAGAAATGCAAAGACACGGATGAGAAATGTCAATTAAAGAGGACAAGTTGTCATGCAAATTTTGGGCCATTTATCTATTTGCGGTCGCCTTGAAAGCCGCAGTTCTGTCATTTGATGAGACCTTTAGAAATACGATGGCACGTAAGTTGAATCAATGGTCTTTTGTGATAATTCTTATCAAACACCTTGCAAAAATCATTAAATTTTGTCAATTGCGGGTCTGTTGTCAAAATGGCATGTTGTGAAGCTCAAAAAGTCCAACGATGTGGTCAAACTAAGCGCAATATTTTTTTTTTCATTTCATGGAACTACCAGAGATGCGATGGCCCTTGAGTGGAATCAAAAGCCTTTTGTGGGGAACCGTGTTAAAGCTGTGCGAAAATCCATATATGTTGCAAATTGCGCGGTTGTCGAAATGATGTGTTGTACAGTCCGTGTTAAGCTAAAAAGTGCAACAATTTACGCAGACATAAACGCCCTTGTTTGAAGCCATGTGGCCAGTCTTAAGCAAACTCGTTTCCTTTCAAGAACTCCTCCGTCCTTGTTTTTGATAATTGATTCTAGGGACATAACAAATGGTGACACGGAGCTTAGGCTCGTAAAGTATTACACTAGATGGTGGGCGATTTCGCAGAAGTTTGGTTTAAATTCACAAGAGTTCGGATAAAATTTGGCATTGTCCCTCCCCCCTTCCCCCCGTCGAGGAATATTATGGCCACATGCCCACTTAATCCTAGTGTGTTCCAGCACAGAGAGGTTTTGTTTGCACGGTTCTTGTCTGAACGTCTCCGTCAGCGGTCGGGGCTTGGGTATTCCGGCCGTCAGCACTCTACGACGGCCAGAGACTGACTGCGGAACGGGTCGGCGACCGATCAGCAACGCCAGCGACGATGACCGTAGTCCGAAGACTCGCGTCAATTTGTTATGCTTCTCTCCCTGAGTGCTAAAGACGCGAACGCTGACAAACCCGTTTGAATAGACTGAAGCTTGCATCAGACCCCTTGAACGCAGCCAGACTGGCAGTTGCGTTCAGTGGTGCTTCGCCTGCCGATGGCTCACTAGTAACTGTCGTGAAGTGTAAATGTGCCCGACACTGCGCACTGCCCTCCGCTGTCCCCACGTCTCACGCCTAGGGCCAGGCAGGCCCGAGCGGTCCTGCTCCTCGACCCCGGGGCGACCCCAGGGAGCGTCCGTCCGACGGGACAGCGGCGCTCCTGACCCGAGCTCCGGGGCGTGACCCCGTGGCGGACGCGCCAGCCGCGGGCCGGCCGGAGCTCCGGCGCGCCGTGTTTGGAGCCGGCGGCCCCGGCGCCCGCGGCTGGCCCGGTGCGCCGGGGTCCGAGGCGCGCTCCCGAGAGGCTGGGTCCATTCGGCGGCCGCGGAGGGGTCACTGGGAAGATTGGGGTCGCCGGGGACTGTCAGGCCAGCCACTGGGTTCAGGTCATGGGGGTTGGCCAGGATGGGCCAGATAAGCTTGATCTGGATTGAGTCATTGCTGACCGGTTCGGTGAGTACGTGAAAATAGCTGTCATGCTGTAGCGGGGCCTCATCGGTCGCGTAACTTTGCAATGCGATGTGCGCTAATGAGCCCGATGTTCCATCTGTATATTTGTCTTGCGGAGACTTGGTGCAGGCCCATGAGTGAGTATAGCGCTTCGGCACAAACGGACCGCAGAGAAAACAGATGGGCGTGGGATAGGGGTACTGGCACTCCGGCATCGCATGGCACATGTCAAGTCGACCGTGTCGTCTGGTGCAACAGAGGCCGCCGGCGGGTCGTTGAGCACATCCAATTTTATTGTTTGAATCGCCTTGGTATGTGCGTAGCGGCGTCACGCGGCGTGACGGCGGCGTGTGCGGATGTGTGGCGTCACTCGGCTGGTCTGTGGCCGCGGCAGGTGGCGGACAAGGTGCGTCACTTCTACCGCTGTTACGCCGTGAATCGGCACAAGATGACGGTGCTGACGCCGGCCGTGCACGCCGAGGCGTACGGGCCCGACGACAACCGGCACGACCATCGACCCTTCCTCTACAACGCCGCGTGGACCTGGCAGTTCCGCGCCATCGACGTGGCCGTGAGTGGCGGCCGGCGCCGGGCGCCCCCGCCCCGCCACGCCAGGCGTCGCGTCCGGGCGGGCCTTCCTGCCGTGCCCATGCGGCGCTGCTTTGCTGCCGAGCTGTGTGTTGGGAAGCGCTGTGAAGTCGTTGCGATCCATGGCCGTTGCGTTGTTTGGCGTTATGCTCGGCGCCTGTGAGCGCGCTGCTGCGTGCGGGTGGTGGACTTTCGCGGAATTTACGCATTGTCCCCGGCCGAGTGCAGCATTACTCAGTAGTTTAATCCAAGACGAACATAAGTACTGTTGCCGGGCGTGGGCAGTGCGTACGATGACTTACTTGCATGCGTGCGTGCGTGTGTGCGATCTTTGCGCCCACGCCGCCACTGGATGCACCGTCGCGCCCGTGTGTTCACCAGCTGAAGCAGCTGCAGGCGCAGGAAGGACGCGGTAAGGAGCGCAACGACCGCAGTCAGCTGACGGAGCGGCAGCGAGCCGAACTCAACGACTTCTCGCGCGCCGGCGGCGCTGGCTACAGCAAGCTGAACACCCAGCCCAAGTCAGGTGCGGATCCGCTGTCTGTCGCGTGTTAGCCAGGTGTAGTGCGGTGTGCTCCAGTCCAGACCACTGGGCCGCAAAGTTGTGACGTCCGGCGCGAGGCGCGAGGCGCGCGTTATGTAATTCACGGCTGGAGGCGTAGACCGTGTAGTCTGACCCGCCGTACACCAGAGCAATGTGGCACAGTCTATGTCGAACTCTCGAAATGGCGATCCATTGTCACCAGGCGTGCTATGCTTGCCGAGTGGTTGATGTGAGCTGGCCCGCGCGGACCGGTGGCCGACCGCCGTCTCGCTGCGCGTGGAGCTGCCAATAGCGGGATGTCGCTGCGGTATGCGGCACTGCAGCTGCGCTTCTGTCCGACGGCCACGACCCGCTGTCCGCAGGCGGCGGAGGCGGCGGTGTGGGCGTCAGCGTCACGTACAACATTGAGCAGGGCGACGCGGCCAAGCGCTGCATCTCGCCCAGCAACCAGCAGCAAGCGCTCAAAGTCAGCCGGCACACCTTCCACATGGTGTAGCGCACGCCCGAGCGCTGCCGGCTGCGCCCGGCCCCTGAAGCCGGAGGGACGGAGAAGCCGCCAGACCGGTGTGGTTATCGCGATGGAGTGGGGTCGCGTCCGACGCAGTGCTTACAGCGGTGTGGTGGGCCTGGGCGAGGTTGCAACAACGGGCAACGGCGAGTGAGTCCTTGTGCAGGCTCTCTTTCGCCGCCCCAGGGTTTTGTGCACTGGTGACCTGTAACCAACGCCGCTGACAAGTCGAATGCTGGTGGATTTTCCAGCCATTCTCCCTCTATCAGCCTCAAACCGTGACAACCGTTATTATCCCCAGCCAGTATCGTCTGCGGTCCTGAACCCCAAAGAAGTCGCACGTATTGCGATTAGCCGGCCGCACCGCGTCCGCGTGGGTCGTTGTTCGGGGAGGGGAGTCCTAGGCCTGGTGGTCACCAGACGAGTCCTTTGTCCCAGGGTTGGCAGACCATGCACTGGGCACAGGCCATAGCTATGATATTACACGGCGGGGCAGAGGGGGCTGAACAAATCAAGGTTTAAATGGCGAGTCTTTCGGTGGATCCTCGGGTTTGTTATTTGTCTTTATCCAGAGCAGGACTGCTACACCAAGTGACCCCTTTAGCAGTGGTTCGGAGGTTCCTTGGCAGATGCCTTGTTCTCCACAACTAAGACCGCTGTTTAGTTTGGTCTTGTTACATGTGACGTTGAATCACCCGTTGTTGCTTGGTAGTCTCAAGTTAGTGCCATCCGCTAGTTAAACAGAATGTGTAGTCGTTAGGGCGTATTTGGCATTAGTATTTAGATCATGAACATTAGTTTATAGTTAAGTATGATCCGGTTGTGATCTTTACATACTACTCCGCTGTCTGCAGTGTCAGCCTCTTGGTTCACGCTGTATTAGCGCTGTTGCCGATCACCAGCCGGCCAGATCATGTTGCTTGTCCCGCTGTCGGCGCACACAGCCTGTGACTGTGTGCCTGTGATTGTGTGACAGCCTGTGACTGTGTGCCTACCTGTGACTGAGCGGGGCACGGCTGCGGCAGCAACACAGCCAATAGTGCCAGTATGTAGGTCGCGCACTGCCATATCGTCTGCTTCCCGCGTAGACGCGTAGTTGGGAGCGCCGCCTTCCTGTACCGACGGGCCGGCCATTGGTTGCCCCCGCGCCCGTCCTGCCTGCTGTGAAGGTCCTGCGCTCGCGCGCCGGTGATCTCGCGGCAAACGCAGCGTCCCGTGCCTGAGCGCCGCCCCTCCGTGCGCCCCCCGCCCTCAGATGTGGTGGCGACGCTGCTCGGGCGGCGCGGTCGAGCCTCGCGCTGCGCCGCCTCCCAGGGCAGACCCGCCGGTACCTCGCCGCGCCGGCGGTCAGGCGCTCCGTCCCGGCGAGGTGCCGTGAGAGCGAGTGTGGCCGGCGGCGGCAGCGCCCGTGAACGCTCCCGTGCAAGTATGTCAATGCTCCTACGTTAGAGTGCTTCACGTGGTCCCGAATACTCGTGTTGTGGACGTAGTGCTGTGCCTGCGTGCACCCCGTGGGGTTTCCTCTGATTCCGTTAAGTAGGCTGCCATACTGTAGGTTAACGCTGAACTGTAGATGCCGTCCGCGCTGGATGGCTGCAGAACAACTTTGCGCCATGCGATTTCGCACAATGCCGTGTCCGTAACACAGTGTATTTTCCAGGGCTATCACAGACAATCTGATAATGTTGGCACCTGTTATCACCCAGCGCCACGAACAAACGGATTAAACAACAATAAAGCGAAAAATACGCCATCTGAACATGAAAAACATGTGTTCCCGTACCCGAGCACGGCGCAGTCCTTCGTTGGTCTTCGCTGGGGACGCGGCGCTGTCAGTGTACACCGTGCACGAGCGCACGGACACGTGCTGACCGGGCGGCGACGAGCGCCTCCCGAGGTCGCGTCTGCCCGCCGCTGGCCGTGGCATTCTTGGCGGCCGGTGCTGCGGGACGCCTCCGGCGCGCGGACCCGAGTCAGGTCGTCTGCGACTCGGGCTCGATGGGTGGGCTCTCGGTGTCGGCCGGCGCCGGCGCCGGCGCCGCCTGCCCGGCCAGCAGGATGATCTCCGAGGCCAGCTGGCGGCCAGCGCCGCTCGGCCGCGGGCTGCGGAACGGCCGGCGCGCGCTGCTCGGCAGGGGCGTCGCCAGCGGACTCAGCGACGGCGCCGGGCCGTACTGCTGCAGTGCCTGCAGCCGCCTCTGCACGGCCGTTAACGAATTCGGTGGCAGGGACGCAGCCAGCGGACCAGCGGGCGGGGACAGGCCGTGCTGCCACAGTGCTTGGAGCCGCCCCTGCGCCGGTGTACTCAGACGTTCGCTCGTAGTCGTGCGCGTACCTGCGTGGAAAATATGCTTGAAAACAGGACATGAAACAGACAGCAATTGCCTTAAACAACGAATGACACGTCGCGACAACTTTCATGCTCAACGATAATGCCTCGAGCTAAATGCGGGGACAGCAGCTTTGGTTGTCGCGTCCAGACAGATCGGTTTGCACCACGAGCCACCGCAATGCTTCATCCAGAAGCCATATGCCGCGCCCCGGCACATTTGAACTCATCCTGGTAATTGTATTCTCACCCTGGCGCGCTACCCACAGCCTGGTACATATTTCATTATACCCCGCACATTCCCCCACATATTGGTATTTCATTACACCCCGCGCACTTACACCCGACCTAGTACGCTCAGTCACACCCCGATCCATAGGCCCCGCCCTGTTACACTGACCACGGCCGGGGGCCTCACCTGGGGTCGCCGTGGCCGTGTGCCGTCGGTCATAGGGCGTGGTCGGTCGGCCAGGCGCACCTCCGCAGCTCCAGTCGCGGCCGACGGAGGTCGGGCCCGGCGTCAGGCAGCGGCCGTCAGAGGTCGGACCCGGCGTCAGGCAGCGGCCGACAGAGGTCGGGCCTGGCGCCTGGCAGCGGCCGACAGAGGCCGGGCCCGGAGTCAGGCAGCGGTTGCCTGGCGCCGAGAGCGCAGCGTCTAGCGCCGACCGCATCGAGTCGGCGAACTCGGCGCATTTCTGTGGAGCAGACGGGACGTGACGGAAACTACAAATGTGGCGCAAGCCTGCCGATGGGATGGGGCGTGACGTCAACGAATGGGGGGGGGATGCCACAACGGGATGGGTACGGCGGCGTGGATGCGGCCCGCCGAAGGGAAGTTTGAGCCGCCGGAAAGGCGAGAGGGTGGAACGAGGGGGTGGGTGGATAGCTGCAACTGACTTATGCACTGTCCACGAACATTCAGGAACCTATTCTAGAACTGTCGTGTTCAATAACAAACGGCCTTGAGCCGCATAAGGCTGTATGTTCTAGCTTCTCTGGCATTAGTGGGCCAGAATTCTCAGACCGATTTTCAGCGTGGCAATATTCTTTGACGGGTAGTGCGAGGAGCTTGTGTAAATCCACCGGAACTCAGCTGCTTGTGTGTGTAAGACTGCTGCTACTCTTAGCTACTTATCTGCTCTTTCAGCTACTTAACTTTTAGCTACTTTAGCTTCCGCACTATCTGGCGAAGAATAGTTTCAAGCTGCAAAAAGGCCACAAAATTACGGCTCAGCAGGGCTGGAGTAGCTATAAAACAGCCTTTCACAAACATCAATGTACCTAGCTCTAAAAACCATAACCTTTTAACAGGCTGCGGATGCCCCTTCCGGCGGTAGGACCGCACCTGCTGAACATGACCGGTGTCCGACTAGCAGGGGCGTAGTTTCGCTAGATGAGTTCGGGGTGAGGGTGGGGGATGTTGAACAATGAAAAGTGACGCAACCTATCCAAAAACACACCAACACATTTCTCCCGGCACTTTCTACGCGAACTTGGGGTGCTGAGCTCATGTCTGGGGTGGGGGACTGGAGCCCCCTAACTAGATAAGAAACCCCTGTCCAGTAGTGTCCGGTGGGTGTGTGGCCAAGTTACTGGAGCCTGGCTGCTGCGGCCTCAGTTCACAGGCCGGACGTCAATAAAAGCCCAACCGGGCCATCGTCCGCGTGGGTCCTGTCTGCAGTGACCACAGCGGTGCCAAGAACACCTCCAGCTCTGCTAGCCTTCGGTCCTGTCTGCAGTGGCCACAGCGGTGCCAAGAACACCTCTAGCTCTGCCAGCCTTCGGTCCTGTCTGCGGTGGCCGCAGCGGCGCCAAGTACACCTCTAGCTCTGCCAGCCTTCGGTCCTGTCTGCAGTGGCCACAGCGGCGCCTAGAACACCTCCAGCTCTGCCTGCCTTCGCACACCTTTGTTGTGACGTGCAGCACGGTGTCCGCCCAGCGTTCCCCCGGCAGCCGGCGTGCTAAGTACTGTGGACAACTGGAGGAACACTATGGATCTGGGTCTAATAGGACTGGCACATCTGTCATTACCGGCTCCCGGGGAGGGCAGCGTGGTGAGGCACCCAGTCTGGCCAACTGGGATCAATACAAGGACAGATCCTGTTTCTGATTTGTACAATCTGATGCAGTACGCAATAAATAAAATCATCACCACTTTTGTCATCAGATTGATCTACACAACTTGATAGGGTTCTGGTGTACAACACACCGTGTGTGGAATGGTCTCAAAACAAGTCCAAGCAAGGCCATTATCACATTCATCAGCAACAAGTTTCCTTTTTTGGGGGTGTTGCGGCGACGCGCGATACATCCATGCAACACGGCCCGAACTGCGCAGGTTGAAGTGGCCAGCAGTCTGTCTGTCCAGACTATGAGAAGCGCCATAACGACGCTTCGCAACGCTTATCTCGAAACTAACTCGTGAATTTCAGGTGGTCAGGAGCTGACGGTGAAAACGCAAGTATCTGTGTATAAAGTATGTTACGGCCCAGTCGGCGTGTGCATCCACAAAAACACGGTGCCAACGGGGATACGTCACCGTATCCAAAAGGCGACACTGTTATCCTCTTGCTTGTTTTGTCCCGCACCCTCGCGACGCCCCGCTTGTCCGGGGCGGGCTGCGCGCTCCAGTCACGAGTGGGCTGGGAGGTGCATGTAAACCTGCCCCATCGTCATCCATTCTCCTTCGTCCTATAGCCCTGCAATGACCATTACTGGTCGAAATCGCTCTAATCGAAACGAGCGAACCAACCCAAAGTGGTCAACCGCACCAGCCAGCTCGCGACAGGGTCCAGTCCATCCAGCCAGGCACCGCCTCTGAAGTCACCTGCGGGGGCCCGCTTCCAACCAGCTGGCAGTCGAGAGGCGCGTGGCTGCGCCGCACTGCACGCTGAGAACTGGCGCGCCATCCCGCATACGCGCGCGCCCGCCGCATGGCGCTGACGAGTCGGACAGGTGCATCTTGATCTACCCCAGCCAGCCTTTCGCGAGCCCCACGCTCAGAGTACGTGCGGATACAAGACGCGGGTGCCGGTGTTTTGATTCCTGAGTCACTGATCACGGCGGGCCCCACCGTGGGCACGTGACAGGGGTGAGGTCAGCGCCCCGGTGCCGAAAGTTGGCACGACGCTGGCTGAGACAGCGCGTTGGCTAGCGACCCTGGCGGCTACGGATCGACGCATGCGGTTGTGGCGTATGATCTGTATAGGGCACGCGTGCGTGGTAACCGGCCAGTGCTTGCAACAAGTATCCATCTGACGCTTGGCAGGAGGAGGACTGCCGTGGAGGTCATGCATAAGCAGTAAAATAAACAGTAAACCAGAGCCAACAGCACACATCTGAGCAGATCGAATGGTAAACGGCGAAGGTGACCCGTGTAGCTTGCAGCCGGTGCCCCCCGTGTAACCCAGGCGACGTGCCGGACCAGCTGGTCAGGTCGCGGCCAATGTCAGCCGTGTTTGCGATGCTCGCGGTCAGCAACGCCTCCGCAGCCTTGGCAACTTGGGTAACAGGCACGGCCTCCTGGACAGGCCAAAGCCAATGACAGAAGTGTTGAAGAAGGCATACCGCGGGCAATGATACAACATGCACATCAGGCCCAATTGTCTTGCAGGAGCCCTCGTGGTTTCCACAAAGCCACTATCAATGTCCAGCAATTGTTTGAATTCAAGGCTGAGTCGAAGAGAGCGTTGTTCAGAGTGGAGGGGCCATACTGGCAGAGCAGTTAACGTTTTCGGCTCCCGCGTGGGGGGGGGTCCCGGTTCTTATCGGCTACGCCCTGGCCCCCGAGCGGTAACATAGTCGGCGCAGTCGCCGTCACTTCATGAAAGGGTGCGTGACGGCCTGCGTCGCGCTTTCTTTTTTATGAAAAAAATCTAAGCTAACACGCATGGACCGTCGGCATGGCCGCCGACTCGTCCGGCTCTCGGCTCGACATGACAACCTGGCCTGTGCGAGCCGCCGGCCGGAGCCTACCGACGGCGCGGGACGGAGCCAGGGCTCGCCAACTGCCAGCGGAGCTCCCGGCCGTCGGACGGAGCCTACCGACGGCGCGGGACGGAGCCAGGGCTCGCCAACTGCCAGCGGAGCTCCCGGCCGCCGGCCGGAGCCTACCGACGGCGCGGGACGGAGCCAGGGCTGCCAACTGCCAGCGGAGCTCCCGGCTGTCGGACGGAGCCAGAGCTCGCCAACTGCCAGCGGAGCTCCGGTCAAGCGACCTATCGCCGCCGGCGTCGAGCTCGACAGGGTCCGTCTCTAGCGGCTGTCGGACGGAGCCAGAGCTCGCCAACTGCCAGCGGAGCTCCGGTCAAGCGACCTATCGCCGCCGGCGTCGAGCTCGACAGGGTCCGTCTCTAGCGGCTGTCGGACGGAGCCAGAGCTCGCCAACTGCCAGCGGAGCTCCCGGCTGTCGGACGGAGCCAGAGCTCGCCAACTGCCAGCGGAGCTCCGGTCAAGCGACCTATCGCCGCCGGCGTCGAGCTCGACAGGGCCCGTCTCCAGCGGCTGTCGGACGGAGCCAGAGCTCGCCAACTGCCAGCGGAGCTCCCGGCTGTCGGACGGAGCCAGAGCTCGCCAACTGCCAGTGGAGCTCCGGTCAAGCGACCTATCGCCGCCGGCGTCGAGCTCGACAGGGCCCGTCTCCAGCGGCTGTCGGACGCGTCACGGCACTGGTTCGGGCTCATCACCTGCACTGATCAGAGAGATGTCGCATCA